GGCAGGCGGGAGACCCGAGCCCGAGCCGGGAGGCTTTCGGCAGACATCAGTGCTTGGCTTAGCGCTCCTTACTAGAAACGAGACTGCGAGCAGGAGAGGGGACAAACAAAACAAAACCCCCAAACCAACCCTTGTCTTTTACAGCGAAGAAAACGTTTGGAAGCTGTGCGACTACATCAGGAGTCGGGATCAATACCCTCTGGAAGAGTTTTACGCTGTCTTCATATCCAATGACAGGAGGATGGTGAGTCGGCGCGTCGTGGTTAAAGGCAGCCGTGGAGCAGCTCCGGCCCCGGCCCTGCAGCCAGAAAGGCCCCGGGGTCCCCCTGTGCGGTGTCCCCCCCGTGCGGGACCTGCAGGCCGCCGCACAGGCGATCGATCCCATGGCTATCCGATGCGTTTTGGGGCAACCCAAAATGCAATGCATCTTCCCTGTAACCTCCTGGTTTAGGAGAATGAGTACGTTACGTGGTCCAGAACACTATCTGCAGCTTAGTGCCGCTAAAAGAGCGACACTGGGCAAGTTTTTTCTCGTTGCAGGACAGATGTAAGCTAATGAAATGGGTTCGCTGGCAAACTACTACTTGTGTTAATCTTCAGTCAAAGTATTTTATGACTTTCAGATTCCCCTATGGAAGCAAAAATCGGGACGTGGAGATGATCCTGTCGTCTGGGTAAAGTATTTTGTGCTTTTTGTGTTCTTTTTAGGGTTTTGTTAATATATGCTTCCCTAATTGGCGTCTGCAAAATCAGACATGGGCAGTGTTAGCCATATCTTTAACAAACTGCAGTTCTATATTAACAACACAATACTAGTATTTATTCTTCTTCTACAACGGATACGTAAACATTGTAAGTCTGGCTCTCTCTTTCACTGCCTGTAGTGCAGTAACAATGAAGCAGTCAGTAAAATTGACGCATGGCAAACATTGGTAAGAATGCATAACAAATCTGTGAAAATTACTGTGTATATACTTCTGAAGCCACCAACTTTGTAGAATTTTAAGAAATAGATGTATATTCTTTTAAGACGTAGATGAATGAAAATATCTACATACGCTTGACATAGCATAGAAAAAGACAAGCAATACATGTCTTCAGGAGTCTGCATGTAAATTTACTGCAAGTGCTGGCTTTAGAACGTCATTTGCAATGAACAGTAATTCAGTAGTTTAGTAATTGCCATTATAGAATTCCTTTTAAATGTGGATCATTACAGAGTTCTTTCAGTTACCCAGTACTGAAAAAACATTCTTCTAGTTTGGTGTGGTGATTTCTGTGTTTCAGGAAATGAAGATTAAGTTGGAATTTATGCTACAGATCCCAACACTTTTAGAGATGTGACACTTATCACACAAGAATGGGAAGGATTTGTTTGGGAAAAAGTGACAAAGTACTTGGGAGAGAATGAATTACTCTTCAAATGGTTTAGCAGACTCCCAAGACGTTGGTATACTTATAAAGCAAAAAAAGGTTTAGTTTAAAAAGAGGCCCGAAATGTTATGAAGCAGACCTATGATGAAATAGGAGATAGGAGAGTCAGGAGAGGCCGCTGCAAAATGTTAATTTCCCATTTAAATGTATAGCTTGAAAGCTATTTTTCCTTTGATGTTTTAATAGCTTGCAGAATTTTCACAGCTTCAAGCTCATTTTTATTACACTCTATAAAATACACTTCTAAATATTGTTGTTGCGTACAGTTCTAGATTGCTCTGTATATTGGTCTGTCAAAATACGTTGCCTGAGATCTTTTTCATTCCAGTCCCTCTATGGTTAGGCCTGTTTAATAAGTTCATAAGAAACTTCGTAAGACTCGAAAGTTCATAAGACTTCATGAGAGTGCCTTAGACTCTTGCTGTGATTGGATTTAGTTTTCACTTTAGTAGGCTGTTAGCAACCCTCCTTCATTAAATTAAACAACAGTGTAAGTAACTGGCAGCAAAACAAAAGGAATTCCAGTTTCCCTAAACCTGAAAGGACTCTTTGCCGTACCTAGATTTCTTATATGTTAAGGAATGAAATTGCATCTCAGAACCTAAGTGTCAAGGCAAAACAGGTATCCTGCAAAAGTACAATATAGCACCCACAAGCATTTTACCCAGCTTCAAGAGCTGCTGCAGGAGTTCATCTTACTCCTACAGTCCAGATTGTATAGGTTTTTTTTTTTTTGCAGTTGCATGCTACTGCTTCTGGCAACTAAATACCAGGCCATCAATTTCACAGCCTGTGTTACTACAAACAGGTAAACATCTCTTATTAAAAGAGATTGCTAGTTAATTTTAATGTTAACCTATCATCACATATTGGTGTGATCTTTTATTTAGGACTGGAACTAAGCTGAAAATGCGTTCTCCCACTCAGATTTTTATTGTTTTTTTTTTTTTGTGTGTGTGTGTGGGACGTGAAGGAGATATCTCTGCTGTTTTCTTAGGAATAGTGTGCGCCTCAGTTTAGCTGTCCAGGCTTAAATCAAAGGAGGCAACTGAAGAATGGGGAGAATACCAAGGATCTCTTGGAAGAAACAGTGGGTGAGGTAGGCATTAGGAAATATCTCTCCTTCCGGTGCCAAAAGTGTTACACGTCTAATACTTCAAGGGCAGAAAAGAGGATTTAGAGAACGGGAGCTGTAGTTCCTCATTTCAGGAAACGTATTTCTACTCGCTTTCCTGATTTCTCATTAGCAACTATTTTGCTCATAGCAATTATCTTTCCTCCCAGGACTACCATGTTATTCTGCTTCATGTTTCAAGTGGGGAGCAGAACTTCATTTATGATCTCGACACAGTGTTGCCGTTTCCATGTCCCTTTGATATATATACTGTGGAGGCCTTTAGGCTGGATGATCGCCTTCCTCCAGAATTTCAAAGGTAAGGAGGTAAAAAGATAAAGAACGTGAATGTTATTTTAAGAAATCCAAGTTTAAATTCTCTTTATTGATGCACAGTAGCAAAGGTGTATTTTTACTATACTCCAGGAAACTAAATTCGCTGTATTATTTTTGTAAAGCCCTTTACCTTGGAGTTGCCGTCATCTAGTCATCAGAAACCCCTTTCTTTCCTACCAGTTTCCTGTTAACCATTTAGCTGCTAGGCACAATGTTTTTGAGTTACTTGCTTAGCTAAATTAATGCTCCTTGTGAGGAAGAATGGGCTCTTGTTCTGAGTAACTGATACAGTATTATATAAATCTCCGTCTTCTGATATAATTTTGTTATTGTTTAGGAAAATCAGAATGATTCGAGCAGATTTGTACTTGAAGACGTTTGCTTCAGACCGATCTCATATGAAAGATGCCGATGGCAAGTGGCAGAAACCTCCTCCTTCATACCCTTGCATTGAAACTGCAGGTAAGCTGCTAGAACTCCATCTGGATTTAATCCTTTTTCCTTTTTAGTGAGATGAATGACGTAGTCAGAGATGTGCACAAGAGGTGTGAGTATGCCTCTATAACGCATCCAGAAGCACATCCAGCTAGCTGCTTATTGCGTGTGGAAAAAGTAGGGCTATGAACCGTTTGGCATTTCCTTTTGTGAATATCTGAAGTTTAGCATGCCTCCTGGCATTTACCATTGTCAAACCCTAATTGCTAATCTTCGTAAACTGAGCAGAGCAGGAGAGGTAAGCAGTATTGTTCTGTTGTTGCAGCAGGCAACTGAAGCAAGATCAAGTAATTTGCTTAGGGTCACCAAGTGCTTTAATTTATTTTATTTTTTTTTTTTTTGGCACACTGATTACACTACACTTTAGTTGGCAGGTCCCATCCTTCCAGAGCATAGTTTTTTGGCTCAGCTCAGCAGGCTAGGTTTGCCTGCACCAGATGTTTGAGGTTTCTGCCTCAGGTGAATGGGTCTAAGGATGCTTCTAGGGCAAAGTGGCAAGTCAGCAAATTTTGCCGCAAGCCTTAGGGCCTCCCTTAAGTAGTAGTCCAGTTATAGCCTCTGGTCCCAGCACAGAAGAGCTGCTATCTCTTCTCTTCTATAGAGATTCTTGGATCATTCTTATCACACAGGATTTCAGTTTCTTCTAGTCATGCATTAGGCAATCTAGCTAATATTTGCCATGTGTTTATTTGTTCTTTCATTTTCCTCCCAGATGGAGAAAAGGGTGGTGAAGTTTTGTTTTGAAAGAGTTTTCTTGTTGTTGCTGTGTGTGTGTTTGGTTTTGCTGCTTTTTTTAATAGCACAGTAGTGCTATGTATTTATGTTCAATAAGGTAGGGTCAAAGAAACGTGTTTTGTATTTAGATCCAGGGATTGTGAAGCTTATTGTGGTTTCTAGTTGCAGGGAAGTTAATTCTCAGTCTTTGCCCTGGCCTCTAAAAGGCCTAGTGTTTCACGCTAGGATAAAAATGGGTGTTGGATGTGGTTTCCTTCTCAAACATAGTCTTCACTGTGAAGCTGTCACTGGTTTTTAGACATTTTGGTTATGAAGCACCTTACATTCTAGGTCTTGGTACTCGTCTTCAGTAATTAGTGTGCAAAGCTACTGTAGCAAGTCAAGAATGCCTAGGCTGCGGTGCAAGGTTTGCTGTTAGCTGGAGCTTCCTAGACACTGAAGGCTTCTTGCCTGTTGTATCCTTATTGTTGCAATAGTTGAGAGCTGATAAAGGTGTGATGGACATCACACCAGCACCTTCCGGGAAGGGGAAAAACCTGTGGTCAAATCAAAATAGTAGAAAACATTACTTGCAGACGCCGAGGTACAGAGTGACTCAAACAATTAGCTACGGTGAATGACTCTGTGGTTACAAAGCCTTTAATTCTCCCTTTATCTGTCTCGCTTGGTTGAACTTTACCTCACAGATGAGCAACAGCCAGATGATCTCAGCCACTCCTCAGATTGTCTTTGTGTTGTTGATGGTGATAGATACGTAGACCTTCATTCTTCCTATACTTGATTTCTTTACTCTGTGCCATGCTGCATGGGTCAGATAACAGAATCATAGAGCCCTGTAGGTTGGAAGGGACCTCCTTAGGTTATCCAGTCCGATCCCCTACCCCTCTGTCTTTTCTCTGTATCCTCTGATTAGAGGATAGCTGTAGGCTGCCGTATGGTCTCCCCTCAGTCTTCTCTCTTTGAGGCTGAATAGGCCCGGTTCTCCAAGCCTCTCATCACATGTGATGTTCTCTAGCCCCCAGCCGCCTTGGTGGCCCTCCACTGGACTCGCTCTGGTATGTCAGTACCTTTCTTGCACAGAGGAGCCCAAAACTGGACTCTGCGCTCCAGCTCTGTGATGAGATGCTCTCATCTCTTCTCTCATTCAGTACCAATTCCTCAAGTTTTGTTTTGTGTTGCATCTGATCGCTTGAAACATCTGGTACTGCTGTGTGCCTCAATGTACCCGATGCTGTAAGTCATCGAGAAGTCTAGGTTTCACTGTTACGGAACTAGCATGCGATTAGCTTCTAGCTGTGGATGCAGGCCCGTAGGTCAGCAGAAATCCTGCATGTAGATTTAGAAAGCATCGCTGTCAACAAGTGGAGCTGGTAATTCTCTTCCTTTAGAGACAGTGTTTAAAGAAATGTCTCAGCACAGTTTTATCAAGCATAAAAATGCCTGTTTTAAACTCGGTGGAAAACTGGGTGGCTGACCTTTTGTTATCATGTGAGAGCCTGGGGTATTAATTTTCACATCCATGCCAAATTCCATTACAGATAACTATTTTCTCCCTGCCGTTTCAGATAGATAGGGTTCTCTGTTTTCCATGTTAATTTGTGTTTGCATAAGATTAAATTGCTCACATATTTCATATTAGAAGTGACTGCAGTTTAATAGCTTGCAGAATGGACCCACATACATTCTTTTAGTATCAATTTGTTTGTGAGACATTTAGATCAGAGCATTGTATTTATTTTTTCATCATCATTGTTGTTATAATTATATTGCTGTCATTTTGAGCAGGCAAATTCTTAAGTTCTTGATAAGATGATTACAAAAGCATACAAGGTTTTTACATTACTTTGTTTGCTATATGTCGTCTTTGATGTTAAACAAATATTGGGAGACTCGGATATATTTTTACTCTATTTTTTTCAGTCTTTTTCAGAATAGGAGCATTGGGCTGTTGCAAAAAAATGTACCCATGACCTCTTTGTATTTAAAAGATAATCACTTCTGTGGTACTGCTCTGTTGCTAGAATTGTTGTATGTTAAAGCATATTAGTTACACTTAACACACTTGAACTGTTCTTATCCCATGGGTTTTGAAAGCTTTTAGTAAAATTAAAAATACAGGTGTTTATCCTTAATAGTGCAATATTGCCTCTTCCAGAGCAGAGCAGCTGTTAAACTAGAATGTAGCACTTCAGAAAAGGAGATTCCATAGCATCTAAGTCGAATGAAAGTTAAATAGAACCATAGATAGGATAATGTAATTACCCTGTGTGGAGCTGGGGCAAGGCACTGGGACTAGTGATTTTTTTTTTTTCCTTTTTTTCTTTAATATGAAGTATATCGGGAAATATTTAATGACTATGAACTTCCTTTTGGAAGTTCACTTCTGTCAGTGACTTATGTGGCTTTTTTTTTTTTTTTTCCCAAATACTAACTCGAATAATTCCTAAACTAATGGTGCTGCTCGTGCTGTTGCAAAATAAACATTTTAAAACAAACCTATCTTGGGGCATGAATTCAAGTCCACGCTTAAAAAAAACCTGAAGCTGGAGTCAAGTGATTTTTCTACAAGCACCTCAGCGTTATTAAAAACTGAATACTCTGACCTCCAGTCACATCATATCAGAATTGCTTGCTGAGCATTGGCCTTTAGCAGCTGGTTCTTGCATAACTGTTTCCCAAAGCCAGGCCTATTTGTTTCATTCTGGCATTGCTCTGGCCTCTGTTGTGCTCTGCTGCTGCATGTGCTGGAGGCAGCTGGTTAATCTGAGTGATGAGGAGGGTGTAGCTGTGAAGTCAGACTGCCTCCTCACCTGGCCCTATAGTCGAAGCAGCTCTGCTGGTATACGCATTCCTGAGCTGCCACAGATTTCCTTGGTCCCACCTGAATGCCAGTGGCCTCCTGTTGAAAGAAAACAGAGGAGAATCTGGTATTTTATTCCAGAAATAAAAATGATCATGATATGAAGCAGGGATTCGTGACTCTAGGGCTGGCTAGCCTGGCCTGGGGTTTTCTTTTAAGTCTTCTCTCTACGAATGAATGAGATCTGATTCTGCTTAGTTTGAGTCCCAATGAAGTCAGCCTTCCTTACTGCAAGCTGGTGTAAAATACAGCTTGCACAGTGCCTTTCAAAATTACTCAGTACAGATGGTCTTACTGCATATATACAACTGTTAGCATCAGCTCTAACACTGAAAAGCGTTAGTTTGAATTTTGGGTCTCCCTAGGTGTGTGGTAGCACACTGGCAGGAATGATTTGTCAAGGCTTTTTGTTCTTTTTGTTTTAATTATTAAAATCCACGGTTGTCATAAATGATGCGTTTCCTTTTTGTTTTTTTAAGAGACTGAGCAGGACAGCTGAGAAATGCTGGAGACAGTGGGTATGACACATCTGTCTGACAGGCGGGCTGCTAGACAGAGGCCAGGCAGACGTCTGCAGTTTCTTCCTCTGTCTTCTGTCTGAGGTGGTAGGATCCTAGTGAGAGCAAAGAAAGCATCGAAAGGGACATGAGTAGCTCATATGCACCACAACCTTCTGTTTCTCTCATCTGAGAAAACTCAAATCTGTCAATTAAGTCCTTAGCTCCTGAGCTTATGTGTGAGCAAAGAATCAGGTCAGGATAGAAGCAAATAAGGTAAAACTAGGGATAGAAGTATTTGAATACTGCGAGTGGCTTATCAAAATTATACAGCTTTCTGTAAAAGAATATTTAAGGTAGCCAACTTTATTTTACGCTAAGATGGACTGAGATGGTTTGCACAGTGAGTTGCACAGTCAGCTACGGGGACCCCCTCCTCCAGCTGAATGCAGTAACAGCCTTTCCCACTCTGCCTGCAAGGACATGTGTCTCCATCCAGGCAGGGGAGGGGGATCGGAAAAGAACTGCAGACACCTAGATAAGTCTGTGAAGACCCCAACTTTCTAAGTATGTTAGGTGCCCCCGAGGTTAGGCAGCAGCAGAGCTAGGCTTTGCGGCTTTATTTCAGGCTTGCTTATCCGCAGCAGCACTTTATGCAGCTATTGTTATGCAGAGTTAGTCCAAGGTCTGAAACACTGCTTTTTAACTGCCGTTGGCAGAAGCCATAGTTATCATGACTGATAATGCCATCTGATAGTGCATGGCCTTTTATTTCGCCTCTGGTCAGGGCAAAAGTGTCAGACTTGATTTAAAGAAGGAGGGGGGGAAAAAAAAGGGCAAGAATACCAGAATGCATCAGCTAAGTCTCATTGACAGTGTGTGTAGGAAAGTGATTTTGGTCAAAGAGAAAGCGTTAGCTCTGTGTAAGCACAAATGCAGGCTAGTGCAATAACCGCAGCTCCCAAAGAGGATCATGAGTGCAGTGTACATGTTAAAAAAAAAAAAAAAAAAAATTCTCTTGATCTTGTATAAATCTTACGGAGTGGTTGTTCTTCTTGTGCCTTTGTAGAATAACCCACTGGGTTTGTCAACAGTAGCATCCAAACGTCTGTCTTTTGTAAATTCTACGGTTACAATTTTTCACTGGCCTCAGAGAAAGGACTTTGTGTTGTTCTCATACCTTTTTGCCTAGTGTTGTTCTCGTGCCTCCTAAAACTGTAAGGTCCAATATAGCATGCATGGCATTTGGATATGACACGTCAATAATGGTGGCATAGGTCTCTTATCTCCTGAATTCAGTAAAATGTGAGAGGTCTCGTTAAGTGTTTTACTATGGACGGTTACCCAGCTGTCATGCTGCTTCAGTGCCATCTGCTGACTGGCTCTTAGACCATCTGCTCTTCATGGGAAGGCTCTTGTTTGCTGTGATAAAAGAATTTTTCCTTTCATTAAACTTCTGTGATGGAATGTCCTATGCCCTGCCACAATCTTTCCTCCAGATGTTATGACGGCAACTTTCATGTTGGTAACAGCAGCAGCTGTGTTTGTAACTCTACTGGAACAATCCCCTTTGGGCTTTTCTACCATTCAGAGAGCGTTTTTTATGAAACTATTATTCTACTATGCTCAGCGCACACAAAGCAGGGAATTGTCCCGTCTTTCAAACCTTAAACTACGTGCATAATCACATCAATTTTAAAACCAAAGCATCTGGGAGAAAAAGACAACTTGGGAATTGGAAAACAGACTTACCAGTCCTCCAGCGCGCACGCAACAGTTGTTATTCTCTCCTACTGTTTTTGAGCTATAGCAGCAAATTGCTGGGCTTGTGCCGTTTGAAATCTCCACATAGTCAGACAGGCAGTCTGGCCCTGTTCTGGCAGACTTGCTTCAGCATAAGGACCATGCTTGACTGGACACAAGGATTTTCAAAGTGCAAAGCTCCAACAGGCTAACAGCAAAAGGTGATTTAGATGCCAGAGGAATGGTGAGGGCTGCGATTAGGCTGATCACAAAGCCATACAATAATAGATGTGTGGTGCAAATAAGAGGGCTTCAGGGGCTGGACTATGCATGGGACTGTTAGATATGGGATTCCTGAACATCATCTTCCCTTCCTCACTTATGCTGTCCATAATTGTGAGATTAATTGCAGAAGCTTTCTGCAGCTGAAGCAGACTCTACCCTATGGATTTTCTAATCCAGCCATTAGACCCTTACTCTTGTTTGGTTCTTAAAGCTTAAATATGTACATGAATCATCCATATTAAAATAAACGCAGCATAAAGGCTTAACAGTAAATATGTTGGTTCTCCTAGTCTGTTCTCTAAACTTGTCCTCTTCCAGTTTTCTTTTAATGAGTATTAAAAAGATTATTTGCACAGATCACCAGTGGTGACATATAACAACAAACCCACAGGTATTCATAGTCAGAGCTGACTAAACTCGGGAATCAGAAACCTCTGATCAGTATGGTTCTGAGTCAGTCAGGGTTGTAACAGGCAAGCTCCAGAAAAAGGCTGTAAGTCTTGTTTTAGCTATCCGGGGGGGGAGTTCAGGTGCCTAAATCCAAAACTCTGAGCTTTCTGCGATCTACAAACAGGTCAGGGGTCTGATCAAATCACACTCCTTGCCAAAAGCTGTCGTAATTGCTTTTCTTTTGCAAGAAGAGGCTTAGCCTTTCCCCCCCTCTGACCTCATTCGGTGGTTCAGGAACGTGTTTGCTCCCAAGTTAGGCTCATGCTCCTCTTAGCCTGAGTGTCCCTCTAGGCTACGGGCTAGACTAGGACAGACATTTCCTCCAGTCTTCGTATTCTGGCCTTGCAGTGGGCCAGCAGAAAAGACAAAGTTCAGGCCTAGAAGGAAAGCAAAGAAGCTTCAACTTCTGACTGATGTCTGCTGCCCTGATCTAGGTTCTCTGTAGTCAATGCAGAAGTTCTCTGACTCAGTTGACTTTGGTTCAGATCTTTAGGGGAAAATAGTGTCTCCCTTCCCTTTGAGTAATCAGAATGGTGTGAATACAGGCAGACTTCTGTTGAGTTGCAGTTCTCCGTTTCGGTTGTTCGTACTTGTGCATCAGTTCCCTAACACTACTCAACCCTTCTAGGCTGCCGCTGCAGGGAAAAATCTTTCCCTCCTACGCACACTGTTTTCTAATGACCAAGGATACTGATCAGATAATGTGATTATTGCCATAGGCAGAGAAGCATCGGGGACAAGTGTAGCATTTCAAGCACTGGAAATAAGACGTTCTTGTAGCATCATACAGTTTGCAGAATCTTGCTGGATTGTAGCTCAGCAAATGTGTTATTAACTCTTTGCTATTGCACGCGTTTTGATCTGTACTATCAAAACAATTTTTTCTTGGCATTTGATTGAGAGAGATGTTTACTTGTGCTACAGATGCTGTATCAGGAACTTTAATATTTCTGTTTTCTGCTCCTGTGTAGACTCCAAGATGAACCTGGATGATTTCATCAGTATGAATCCCAAAGTAGGATGGGGCTCAGTGTTCCCCCTGCCGGACTTTGTGCATCGTTTTGGCAGACAGACTGATTACAACCATTCCTTGAAAGGACAGTGAAGTAAACAAAGAAGTTCTCTCTGCTTCTCTTTTGTGTGAGTGTGTTTTGTTTTGCTGCTTTTGCGTTGTATTTATTAATGGTTTACATGCCTTTACATGGAATAAGTATTTGGGCAAAGAGAATACCCAGTCAGAAATATCATGAATGAATAAAAATTATTTTGATTATGTAAGAATAAGCGTGTTATTAAATATATCAAATCGAATGCAGACGTCTCACCATAGCATATCTCCCTCTACTGTGCTGAGATTGGAAAGAACACTTAAATGCTGTAAGAAAAACTTTTGGAAAAATATGTACATAAACAACGGAGCAATGTAGCTCGGACTGCTAAATGTCACTGCCTTTTAGAAAAGAAATACAGAATATTTTCTTTCTATTATAATTTAATTTTTGTCACTTATATAAACAGACTGGGTGCATCTCAATTTAGCCCCTCATGTTATCAGCCAGGACTTATTTGGCAGAAGCCTGAAAGGCAGACCCACAAAGGGAATGTAAACTCAGCGGTACAGTCTTGAACTCCCAAGCACTATGAAAAAAACAGGTAAGTATCTAGGTTTCTGTGCTATGTGGCAGGAGAGCTAAACGCCTGACATTTTAGCTAAACTGCTCTAACGCCAACTGGAAGATGCAGTTTCTTTTCCTTCTTACACTGGCTGCACGTTCTCACCTGCTCTTGCCTGCCAGCACTTGGCGCTTTTCTGGCCCCAAGGTAATCCAGGATAGGAAGCTAAGCTGACAGAAAGAAGTAAAGCTTTTTTTTTCTGCCTTTTAGCTCCTTGAACCAGCTCACCATGGGGTCAGACAGCTGCTGTTGCCGGTATAAGGGAATCAGCAGGACCATACGGTTGGGGGGAAGGGAATGAACAGGCCTGCCCCGTTTGCGGTGGCTGGCTGCTGAACTGGCTTAGAGTTATTATCAAGCTGCACCCTTGCAGGGAAACCCAGGAAAGCCATCGCGTTGAATAGGGATTTGGAGACCGGTTTCCAATATCTTAAGAGAGTGTCCTAAACGTAGGATTAAAGAAATAGTCTAAAATGGGGTATTTCATTCCCTCTTTTGGAGCTGTTCCATTTTATGTACTAGCATATCATAGAATCACAGAAATATAGAGTAATTCAGGTTGGAAGGGTAGTCAGGAGGTCTCTAGTCCAATCTCCAGCTCAAATCAGGGTCAGCTCTGAGGTCGGAATAGGCTGCTTAGGGCTTTATCGAGCTGGGTCTTGGCAACCTCCAAGGACGGAGAGTGGAGCTTAAAGAAACATTTGTGATGGACTTCAGTCTTGATGAGGAGAAGCACAGTAATGGTTTTAAGAGTTAAAGGATCATTTTATTTGTAGCTACAGAGCAATGTAAAAACTTCCAAGATATTTATGTGTATATTCTTACTCTATACATGTATTTTTATATACATGTTATTACTAGTATCTCCTATCAGTTCCAGGGAATTAACGCAGTATGTTAACAGAAGAGACAGACTGGTGAACGGCTGTGGGATTGATTGATTTCATCCAGACATCCCTTTTTCTGTGTCATCTGAGGGCTGGCTGAATGTAGAAGCTTCGTTCTGTTGCCAGATACAGCGTTAGTTGGCTGGCTGTGCAGATAGGCTGCTAATACACAGACTGCTAGGGTGCCAGCACAGGCTACAAACAGGAGACCAGTGGTTGTGGCGCTCGTGTATTTTTTCTGCAGCTCCTGCTCCAGGGAACCCCCTTTGCCGGAAGAGGACAAGATGCCTGACCTCAAAGATTTCCAATTAAGCTGGTGCTCAGAGCTCTCCCGAGAGGTGAAGGCTCTGGGTTTGACTCATTGAGTCAAATTAATTAGACAAGTGCTTTGAGCCCAGGACACCTTGTGTCAAAGGTCTGTTTCATGGGCATCTGGATAAAAAGGCAGCTCTTCCTTCCGTAGGTATCTTGGGTGAGGCTGATAGGGCAGGCGTGCTTTGAGTGAGTGAAGGCGTCGTTATTTGCTGTTGCTGAGCAATGTGAAGACTTAGCTAGCTGTGAACACGCATAACATCAGAAGTCTACCTGCTCGGCTCTATAGGGAGGGTAACCCAGTGCCCGGGACGTTGCACATTCTCCAGAGGATAGACAGCAGCAGAACTGCTAATTCAAAGATCCACGTTTTGGATGACAAGGTTACATCAAGCCCCTTTTATCCTTCAAGTAAGTGATTGAATCTCATATCCGTGAGTTTATATACATTGCTTAATAGAATTTCTGAGCTGTTCCAGGACATGAAGTCCCCATACTCCTTAGTATGGATTTCTGTACAGTCTATACTTGAGTTTCTCGTTTGATTTAAATATTGTGCTACCATCCTGCAGCGGGGTTCTGGCGGTTGAAACTTGTGACGCTCCGTTTAGTGGGGCTCAGATATTAGAATGTGCCTATTTGAATCCTGTATCAAGGTTCAAGGCTGTAAGGAGAACAGTCACAACTTTTAATCAGAATATACAATTTAAAAAGAATCAATGTGGAGAAAGATTCCTTTTTCTCTCTAATCATTCTGAACAGATGCTTAATTTTACAGATAGTCTGGATAGGTGGGAAGATGGATTTTATATAATAAATAATCCTTCTGTAGCCCTCCTAAAACAATGTCATTCCAGAGGGGTGGGTAGAGGCCAAGGAACTATTTTCTTTCAATACTGAGAGCGTTCGTATCGTGGGGCTATCTCTGTCTGTAGCCCTTGAAGCCTGCTGGCATTTCAACGACGTTTCAGAGCGTGTTATCAGAAAGCCTGAATTCAGGAATACAACGAGCGCGTGTTTAGGACTCCAAAGACAAGGAGGAGCAGAGAGGTGACTGTTTACTGCTTGCTTCTCAGGAATGACCTGAGAGCAGCAGCCCTTCTTACGCTGCCCAGCCCTCAGGGGCCATCAGAGGGTTGAAGTGAATCCCCTCCCTGCTCTGCCTCTGTGCTCCTTTCTCTCTCCTGAACCCCCTTCCTGATTGTTTCCGGGGAACTTGCTGTGTTTAACCTCTCTGCTTACACCTCAGGCTGACACTCGAGGTGGCCACACCGGTGTGTTTTACTCACTGAGCAACCAGCGCATAGGCGACAGACAGAAAAGCAAAGTTTGTTGAGAGTTTTTTCTCTGCTTCATACTATTGATAGGCCTTGAGACGTCTAATATTCTCCCTGCACTATTAATTTCTAATAGTTTTTAACTGGAATTTTCCTATTTCTGTTAATCTTACTGAGACAAGACCGAAACCAGAACCAGCGTTTCCCATAAAGATGTGCTGTGCGTTCACCCGCTTTCAGTGCCGATGATTTCGTCATGCAGCTTAGCTTTCCGTTCCCTTTCAGCCTTCTTTAGCTTGTCCTTTCCCACAGTGAAATCCATCTGCCTTTCTGTTGTCCAGTTATTATTACAATATTTATGTGCTGATGGCCCTTGGCAGCGGCTCTTTGGACTGGGTCTTCCTTGAGCTGGGCACTGAAAAAATGCAGAAGAAAAAACCCTGCCCTCGGGTCAGTTCCTCACAATCCGACTTTGTCTTAGCTAGGCTAAGTACTCTGTTGGTCCCTGGAAATTCGCCAGTACTTTTGCTACTAGAAATGACAGAGCGAGATCCTGAGAGCCTTTTATTCACACTGGGGGCATCCTATTTCCCAAGTAGTTCCTCTGGCTTCCAGAAAACTATTGATGCGGTAAGCTACAACGTGAGATAGGAGATCCCTGTCTGTCCTGCCCTTTTCTCCTCTTTGCGTATATTCTTTTTAATTGGGAATATCATGTACTTAATTCTTAACTAGCTGCTTTTATCTGCCAATTTTGGACCTTAGTTAAAAATGCTGTTTTTCTGGCATGCGTTTGCTCGGTCAGTGCATTTCTGTGAACTTTTAAACAACCAGGTCTGTCTTGGTAAAATACCGTTTTTTCAAGTGGCCAGCAGAGAGAGCAGTTAGCATTCAGTAAACGTGCGTGGTCCCACATTTTGCCAGAGGCTCCCTCCCTGCGTGCACAGTCGTGCCAGGAACTGTTACAGTTTAAAAAAATAAATAAATTCTGACAACAGCGCAGAGGTGATCCCTATCTTCCAAGGTTGCAGCTGATGGGTTATGTATTGCCCTTGACTGTCTGAGTCCAACATCGGCAAACTAACTCCCAGCTTTTTTTTTGGATCTGTTCAGCATTCACAGCTCCCACCAAAATGCACGCGTGACACCTTAGAAAACCAGACTAATTGCTTTGCCATCAACATCTGGATTTTGGTGGCTAAATTTAGGCACCCAGGACCCTGCAACGCGATCTGCACAGAGTGAGTCCTGTTAACTAAATGGCAGGGAGGCCTGGGATGCATTTGTATGAATCGGATTCCAGGATCAGAGCCCGAGCTTGGAACATTTTGACCTGGGTAACCTTCCCTTTTTATCCACTCATCAGCCAGCCAGCGTCTCATACATGCTATAAAATGCTATTGTACTCCAAACATCTATTGTAAAAATGGCCATCTTCAGGGTCTGCTTTTGTGTTGTTACGAGGAGTTTGGTCCAGATTTTCTCGTCTTCTTACAGTACTACCATTTTTTTCCCTGCCATTTTTACAAATGCCCTGAATGATCTGAGGAAGCTGTAGCAGGGAAAAGACAAGAGGTGTGAAAAGCCCATCGTGCCCTTGGTGTTACCTCCCACCGGTCCCCTTGCAGAAGGGTTTCCAAAAAGCCATCCACGACCTCATCAGGGGCTGGCCTGCCTAACCTTCGAGAACCGTGCCGCCGGAGAGGAGGACCAGCAGAGCATCACTTATGCATCCTCAGCTAAGCAGATGGCTCCAGGTTTGGTGGGGTTGCCCTCCTAAGATGCTTTGGATTTGCAAGCTTCAAAAATCTCAGCCCCTTCTCGGTGTGAAACCCTTCTTGATGTCTGTCCCTTTTACGGTAATTACTGACTCCAAATCGGATGGAAGGGGAACTGCTGATTTACTTCTCCCTTCTGGCCTCCTCCAGCGGGTTCCTCCTGATCCAGGAGCTGGCCCAGCTGAGGTCTAGGTTAATGAAGGGTACTCTGAAATGAGTGTCTGGAGATACCTACTCAGGTTCGCTGCAGGGCCACGTGCGCCTTTCCCCGTGGAGCTCAGCTCTTGGTGTAAGATTTTCTTTTGTGATCGTGGAGGCAGATCAGAAACACTATATAAATGTGGCCTTTCAACAAGTTAAGTGCAGCTGCAGTAGTGGTTCTGGAAAATCTC